ATTCGACCTATGAGTATCAGATTCTCCAGACCCTCTTTCCTCATTATGTATCCCAGAAACTTCAGCTGCTTCTTTCTGACGTTAAGTATAAACCTTCTCCTTGTTTGTAACCTCTCTAAGACCTCATCGTTGCTCACACGCTCGTTCCATGATATCCTCAACATCTTTCCCTAGAACCACGTATATGCGTAAGTAAGCACTGAAATTGTGCTTACATTTTGATGCAAGTTCTCGTGAAGGTCCTAAGAGGATCGTATACATTCAACAAAAATAATCTGGCGATATTGGAGAAATAAACAGAGGCAACATATTCTTATTTTTTTCCTTAAAGAGATGAAGAAACTGAACAGCTCAATTATTAGAACCAAAAAAAAAAAAAAAACAGACTATCCGGACATATGATTTGATTATAATGGTAAAGGGTTTGGCAGAAGCAATCACACTTTTGGAAGAGCCGAATACAGAGAACTGCTGTATAGCGTGCCACAGAGTTCTCCCTAAAGACCCTCGACAGGTTTTGAAATCAGAGTTGTACTTCTTCTAAACCGGTTCCCACCCAAGGCTATAGGATCCAGTTTGCCTTTTACCTATACCATTAGAAGAGATCGATCCATATTTTCTCCACGTAAGTGAATGCAATGAACGAGATTGGAATTCGAACAGAGATCCCTGTGTCTAAACCATTCTACCACCGTGCTTCTGTATATATATATATATATATATATATATATATATATATATATATATATATATATATTATTATTATTATTATTATTATTATTAAAAAATTTTACATTTCTTGTTTTGGAACAATAATCGTTCCTATTCTAGCGATGGTGGATAACATATAATATAAAATTGATTTATTTGGGAAATTTGACAAAAAATCGTTACCACTTTTAAAAGTTAAAACGGAAGGGGAAACTAATGTCTGAATTAAAACATATACTTTGGTTAATCCAGATATGCCGCCAGGTATATGTTTCAATTCTGACATTAGGCAATGAAAATGGAAAAAAAGAAAAAAAAAGAAAATAACCGGAAAAGTTATTAATTATAAAATATTAAAAAAAAGAGGAAAAAAGATGAAAGAAAAACAAAAGTTTCAATATAACTTTTTTTGGGAAGAGAAAGAGAAAGAGGGATAAAGATGGTGAGTGGAGCGGGAAGGAGGAATGAGAAAAGGGAAGAATGAAAAGAAGGAAGAATTAAGCATGAGTCGACAGGGTGACCCAGAAATGACTTTTTCTTTCGGGACAGGACAAGTTTAAAAAGCAGGGTGGGGAAAGAGAGTGATCAGATCCAAAGTAGATGCATTGCATTGACAAGTCATTTTCCTTGAAATTATCCCTACTAATTATCAATTATCATATATATATATATATATATATAGATTATCCATGTTTTCATTAAATAATATAGACAAGTGTTGTCTATTTGTTTTATGTAATTTTTTTTCGTAACGTCTGATAAGTTTAGTTACGAAAAAAAATTACATGAAATAGACAACACTTGTCTATATTATTTAATGAACTGCATGAATGAAAAAAACGCTGCCTAAATACACACAATATATATATATATATATATATATATATATATATATATATATATATATATATATATATACAAATATCTCATTAGACAAGAGAAGATACTGAACAAGGAAAGTAAAAATAAAGGAAGACAAAAAGGAAACACCTTCTGCTTCAGTAAATTACTAAATGCCCAGATTATCTAGACAGAGCAAAAAAGGCTTCACAACGTCAACACTTAAGAGAGAACAGCCGGAGTCGTTACCCGAGTTGTACCCACTCGCGGTCTCCAGACGGCAATCGATACTAAGGATTCTCCATGCGCAACATTAGCAAATATTTAACGACAAATTCATTTATATGTAATTTTGCAGACATATATTTTACATACGGTCAATACAATTTGCTCACTATAACGAGCATCTCGACTGGGGAGAACCAAAATGCTTATGAACAATTCATTGTTCATAACCATTTTTGGTCGAGATGCAGTCGCGTCGAAACAAGAATACATCTTTGTTGTGAGGAAATCGTATTGATCGTATGTAAAATTTATAATAAATAACTATTGCTGCAGTCTTTGTAGTAAACACTCTTGAACGTTAGAATTTATATTATTTTCGTTTTCATTATATTCGTTCTCAGAATTAATTCAAAAGACGGCTCATTACAAAGAGTACAGCAAAAAAAATAAATCAATAAAATCATTTATTATAAATTCATGAATTGTTTTAAGCAGTTTGGTTCTTACCAGTCGAGATGCAGGCACATCGAAAACAAGAATGCATCTTTGTAGTGATATCAAGTTGTTTTTTGTCAGTTTGTAAAATTATAATATATATATATAAATATATATATATATATATATATATATATATATATATATTGTATATTGTTACATTAGAACATGTAGGTTGTTGCGATAAAATTGCAATTTTGTTCCGACGATTAAAACACGATTCATGAGGTTGTTAACAATGATGGTACTATCATTGTAAACCACAGAATGAAACGTGTTCTCAACGTCGCAACTAAATTTGCAATTTTGTAGTCTTAACCTGCATGTTCTAATGTACCAATATATAATAAATACTTATTGCACCACTTTTATATTTAGTCCGTTTTTTAAATTTTTTTAATTTGAATTTAATTTTCTTGTTCTTTTTTACACTTGGTTCCATATATATATATATATATATATATATATATATATATATATATATATATATATATATATATATCCTTGAGTACTGAATTGGCTTGTGTCACGTGATCAATACTGATTGACACGAAATACCAATTGTGTGAATGCTCAAATAATATTAACTTATGATAAAACACTTTCCCTAAATGTATAATTAAACAAAAAGCTAATATATATATATATATATATATATATATATATATATATATATATATATATATATATATATATATATATATGTGTGTGTGTGTGTGTGAGTGTGTGTATGTTTCTGCGTGTGTGGGGGTGCGGGTGTAATAGAGAGAGAGAGTGAGAGAGACGGAGAGAATAATTTTCTAAAGAATAAATTTTGTATATAATAATTTTACGAATTTTTATCATTTTTTTTCTAGAATATTCATACCGGTGGTGGAAAATAAAGAAATATGCTGTTAAATAAATAAGCGGAGCTTGTACTTACGTATGTGTATCCAGAAAAAATAAAGCTTAAAATTATATATATATATACAGGGTGCCCATACATTCTGTGTGCACTTTAAAGTTATAAATTATTTAAAGTGCATACGAACTTTATGGACACCCTGTGTATGTATGTGTATATATATATATTAAGAAATGGACAAGGTCCGACAATTTATTTATTAATGACATTTTTTATTATGTTTAACGTTGTTATTTTATAGATACAAGTATTTAAGCAAATGCTCTGTTTATGATGAAACAGTATTAAATAACATTTACCGGCCTGTTATTTATTGAGTTTATAAGGTCAATTTTTCATTCGAAAATTGTCTACCGAACGCTTCTTTGTAGCCTAGCGGTAAGGCACGTCAGCGTATATGACGGTTCCGTATAGGATGCAGGTTCGAATCCTGTCAAGAACGAATATTTTCTATGAAAAATTTATCGGACATTCAGGCCGGTAAATGTTATTTAATACTGTTTATCATAAACAGAGCATTTGCTTAAATACTTGTATCTATAAAATAACAACGTTAAACATAATAAAAAATGTCTTTAATAAATATATATATATATATATATATATATATATATATATATATATATATATAAACATTGACATATTAACATTAAAACAGCATAATTGTATATAAGGATTTTTGTTTGTTTTTCCGTATATTTTCTTCATACTGTCGGATCTATATCCAAATATTTGTTTGCATATATATATATATATATATATATATATATATATATATATATATATATATATATACAGGGTGCCCATAAATTTTGTGTGCACTTTAAAGTTATAAATTATTTAAAGTGCATACGAACTTTATGGGACACCCTGATATATATATATATATATATATATATATATATATATATATATATATATATATATATATATATGATGTATAGATATATATGGATTTTCTTTTTTTTAAACCCAGCACAGAATAACATCAACTATGTACATGGCCATAATATGCTGACCGTGTTTGGGAAATAAAACATTCCTATAACTTTAGTCACATACAGGAAATAATCCATACACTCAATTTAAAGTTGAAATAATATCTTGCTTGATAATGTCTCAAAGTATAGCCGAAAACGATTGTACATACAATTTCTACATAATTTGTAATATCTTATAAAAACACAAGAAAAATTAAATAAAAAACTTAACTACCTTGACAGTCATTTTTAATGAAACTTGCAGAAAGGAAGGATTGCACCCCGAATACACACTTATATATAAATTAGTGAGTGTGTGCGTGTTTGTGTATGGGTGTTTGTATATGTACGCATGTGTGTTTTTGTGTGCGTGTTGTCGCGCGTGTGTACGTGTGTGTGTAGATACGAATTTTTTCAGAGGCATTTTGCTGGGTAAGTAAATGACAAATGCTATAATATATTTTTTTTCATAAACTTCACCTAAAATCAGCAAGTATTTCTTAGCAAGAATTATTTGATAAAATCCTGTGCAAAAAGTTAATCAAAAGACACTAATCGTCAGATTGACTATCATTTTAATATTTTGACATTTCATTCCTTCCTTCAATGCCGTTGGATAAGCGAACGTCATAATCATTAATTAGCCAATCTTATGCCAGAACAGAAAAAAAAAAAATTAACACAGGTTAACGTATGGCAATGAATATCTTTTATCTTTCATGTGTAGATATATAAAGATAAAAGAAAATAGCAACTGAAGTATAGGAAATAATTGTGTTGCAGAGATAGATAAAAAGATATAAATATATTTAAATAAATAAATTAATAAATAGATAGACACGAACAGATAGATAGATAGATAGATAGATAGATAGATAGATAGATAGATAGATTTGACTAGCCTGACATAGATAGATAGATAGATAGATAGATAGATAGATAGATAGATAGATAGATAGATAGATAGATAGATATGACCAGACAGAGGGATAGATAGATAGATTTATAAATAGATTGATAGATACGAACATATTGACAAACAGAGAGATAGATATGAACAAACTGATAGATAGATAGATAGATAGATAGATAGATAGAAAACCCTTTATGATAGATAGATAGATAGATAGATAGATAGATAGATAGATAGATAGATACGAACAGACTGACAGATAGAGTGATAGATATGAACAAACTGATAGATAGATAGATAGATAGATAGATAGATAGATAGATAGATAGGGAGTGGGGATAGGGGAAAAGAGAATTTGAGAGACATATTAAGACTGCGGTAGATGGCAAGACCCGGATGAATCTAGGGCGATAGATGCCACTAAATAATGACGGATAAATAAAGAGTATTCGCCGGTGTCGTTTGATGCATACGATAAACTGCAGTTATCACTGCGCGCCGAAGATGAATATTTACAGCACGACTCTTGCCGCAACCCTGTCGATCATCAGCTAAATTTATTTACAATGTGTGCACGAAGTCACCTGATTACGTACAGTCTTAAATTGATACTTCACCCGCGCCACCAGCCATGCCTCCTGCCTCTACGCATGCGGGCGCCCACACACGCAGATCATCTTCAGATTTTCCTATTGTTAGAAGCAGAATTGTTGTGATACAGCAAGCTCTTAGTCTAAGGTAAATAGGCTAAAATATATAGGCTAACCTTCCAAGAGAACATGATTGGCTAGCCTTACACAATCTTCTTTTTTGCGACGTGCTCGATCATGGCTTTACCATAGTTTCTTATACTTCGTTTTTGTTTTGGGGTTGTTTTTTTTTATCATTTCCCCATAAGCAAGAAAATAAAGCCACTAAGACGCATGAGGTTACTGAGTATGAGAGAATCTGAAAAAGTAGGCGGTGAGAACAATGCAAGCACAACAAGTAAGAAGACAGAAAAAAACATTAAATACAAATTTTTTGACATCAGATTTCACTGGAAAACAGGAAGCTGGAAAATAGTTCAACAAGCGGGAAGTGCGAGAGAAGAAACTGTCAGCATAGAACTTACGGTTACATAGCAATTTCTAGTGTAAAACGATGAGAACTTGCCGTCAATCTAATACTACGCGTAAATTCATAAAGTATTGGGACCAAAGAGGAAATCATGAAAATTACCATGAAAGCATTTATACAAATAGGCATAAGGAAGCCTCTTTTGAGTGGTGAGAATATGACTGAGGCAGATTCTTCTTTGGATTTTATCAAGAATCATTATATATATATATATATAAATATATATATATGATGCTCTCTCTCGCTCTCTCTCTCTCTCTCTCTCTCTCTCTCTCTCTCTCTCTCTCTCTCTATATATATATATATATATATATATATATATATATATGTATATGATACACCAGACCAGATGTGACAGTAATATTTAATGCATGGGTATATGGTGCACATATAAATATTTAAGCTAAGATGTCAGATCAAGGCTGATAATATTGCAGATTCTTCTTTTGGATTTTATCAATAATCACTATATATATATATATATATATATATATATATATATATATATATATATATATATATATATATATGCACACACACACACACACATATATATATATATATATATATAATATTAGTGGTAAATATACACATACATATGCAAAATATATAAATATATATATATACATAGGTGCATACACATACATGTATATGTTTTGAATAAAAAATTCCAAGAGGATAGAATCCAGGTAGAACTCAATGTCCAGGACAGAGTAAGGATATAATAAAAAGGTTTAAACACTAATATTCCATGGCCATAATTTATTCCATTGTAATCGTAAATACCATCCAATTCATCAGACCTACAAATTTAAAAAGAAAACAGAAAAAAACAACTCCGGAAATAAAAATAGAATTCAGAGAGAGTGTAAGTATGAGAGTGTGGGACGAATGTTAGAGCTAAAGAGAGGGGTAACAGACGAGAGAAGGTGGGAGATTAAACAACAGAGAGAAGTATATCACCACAAAATGTATCCTTTCCGGTTACATCTTAAATGTATTAGAGATCCGACAACATTCATATTTCTCTCACTTAAACCGTCTTCAACTCACCTCTCTAAAACTTCTCTGTTAAGTTAAGTCTGTTAATCAATTTACCTAAACTCGTCAGATTCCTTACTAGGTTTTTCCATAGCCCCACTTGCTTTCATTATGTTCTGAGTGTGTCAAATTCTCTGAGCCATTTTTCCTCCTGGTTATGACGATAAACTACATACCCGTCTTGGGTAAAACGATAAACAGCAAGGCCTTTGACCAGAAGTTTTTGAGGAGCGTGGAGCCACCTCTTAATCGCTGGTGTTTCCACGTCCACGTGGTAGCACTTGTTAGGGTCCCAACTATGAGCAAATATTTAACCTCCAAACTGGAGTCAAATCGTGTAAGATAAGGCGCTTTTAATACCAGCAATAGATTTTTGAAAAAACACATTTTTGTAAAAAATTATTACCAGCAATTAAACTTTCGACAAAACATTTATTAGCAGAAAAAATATTATTACGAGCAATAAATTTTTGAAAAAAAATATTACCAAAATTACTTTTTCAAAAATAAAATATTGCCAGCAATATCTTGTCGGCATTAAATAGCATATTGAGTTTGAAATGCCGTAAAACAAACCAAACCAAAACAAATCATCTCTGTATTATGTTCTGAGTGTGTCAAATTTTCCGAGCCTGCTTTTCTGTTTTCTGATCTCATGCACAAATGTCTTTTTCGCTCGTATTGTTTTTTTGGCTCACTGATCACACGTTCTATAAATGAAATTTTCAATACACTTACGATAATTGCATTATTTACATTATTCGGGCTGTTATCCTCATCTTCATTGCCATATTCACAATGTTTCGGCCTCTATATCTCTGAAATGAGGTATTATAATTACTTGCATTATTTACATTATTCAGACTGTTATCCTCATCTCCATTGCCATATTCACAACGTTTCAGCCGTTGTACGCTCCGGCCTTCATCAGGTGATTGGAATTTCGAACTGAACCCTTTATTTCGTCCATCAGGGTGGATTGTTCTAGTTCCAACACAACTAGAGCTAGAACAATCTACCCCGGTGGATGAAATAAAGGGTTCGATTCGAAATTCCAAAGACCTGAAGAAGGTCGGAGCGTACAACGTACGAAACGTTGTGAATATGGCAATGAAGATGAGGATAACAGTCCAAATAATTTAAATAATGCAAGTAATCGTAATACCTCATCTCAGAGATATTGACAGACTTACACTACTGTTCAAAATTTTGAGAAAACTCTTGGTAATTTTTTTTTTTTAAATTGTCCCGTAAAATAAGGTTTATACTTCGAATAAGAGAAAATTATTACACATGGTTAAAAAAAAAGTGAGACATGATATTTCATTAGAATTAGTGCTGCACGGCATTGTTGCATTCTTATATATATATATATATATATATATATTATGAAATGGAAAATGTCCACAATTATTATAAGACATTTTTATGTTTATACATTCTTTTTATGCATACATATATTTAAGTAAATGTTCTGTTTATAATAAACTGTATTTGGATACGCCATGAGCAGATATGAATGTAGGTGAGAAAATCATGGAAGATTGTAGTTTAAAGACAGTTACATCGACCTTGCTAACCGAACTCTCCTCTGTGGACAAATCGGTTAAAGGCACGTCTGGCTATATACTACTACTACTGTACTGATGCGGCATTCACCCTGGGCGGATTGAGCCGGCTTCTTCCTGTTATGAGAAGAAGATTCTTGGGATAAATTACAGAAGTAGGCTACCCAGGCCTACTCGGATAACGTTCTTGCTTGCCGCGGGATTCCCACAGACGCAGAGACAGGAACGACCAGAAGCCGCCGGTTACCGATGCAGACGCTCCTTGGATTTTCACCAGAGCCCTTGTTAGCCGGCGTATGTGTCAGACCAGTCCGTCTTGGGTGGCCCTACCAGGAACGAAGTTCCGGGCGGCATAGCTCTGACACTACCGTTTACACCCCCCCACCGACTGTGAGGTAAGGGTTGGACTTTGGGGGCTTACAGTACCAGGTGTTCCCAAGCGGTCCCCCATCTAAGTACTGACCTGGCTCTACGATGATTAACTTCGCTGATCGAACGAGAACCGGTGTTTCAGCGTCTGGCTATATGTCGGGGGATGAATATCTTCTATGAAAATTTCTCGGATATTCAGTCCGATAAATGTTGTTTAATACTGTTTATTATAAACAGAGCATTTACTTAAATATTTGTATCTATAAAAAGAATGTATAAACATAAAAATATCTTAAAATATATCTATATCTATCTATCGATCTATATCTCTATATATATAAATATATATATATATATACATATATATATATATATATATATATATATATGCCAAAACTTTTGCAACAGTATCATATATATATATATATATATATATATATATATATATATTAGGTTGGTTGAAAAATAATGACGTCATAATGTCGATTTTGACGTTAAAAATACTTCAAAAATCGACATTATTATGTCATTATTTTTGCAACAATTTTATATATATATATATATATATATATATATATATATATATGCAGTTCAAAATTTTGAGCGACAGCTAGTATTTTTAAATTGTCCTGAAAAGTAGTTGTTTTGTAATTTAAATAAGAGAAAATTATTATACATGGTAACATAAGTGAGACATTACTTTTATTAGTAGTTTTATGATGACAAAAAAAATAAAGTTTTTTTTTATTATTTAATTTTTGCTCTCGTCAAAATATACACCTTTAGCCTGGATTTGGCATTCGTGGCAAAAGTTTCTCAAAGTATAAGTTTTATAACTGATTCCATGCTTTTCCCAATGATTCTAAGAGCTTTTTTTTCCGTTTTAGGATGGAAAGGTTTCACTCTTCGGGCAGGTTCATCCCATGCTAATTCTGGGGTTGGCTTCAAATTTCTGAACAGTAGTGTATATAGGACCATATCTCTGTTGTTTCCTTCCTGAGAATACTGAACACAAACTTTAGCTATTTTGACAGAACTTAACTTGCCCCAAATTGGAAGGAGAGCCATGTTTTAAGAAGAAATTTAACTGTCCAGCCTTGAAAAATCAACACTGAAAGCCGACTACTGTGGGTGGTTCAAAATACACTTCTGTCACGAAAGGAAAATATTCCGTAGCTTGAATTAGACTGGAGCAAATTTTCACAACAGATAAATAGTATCAGTTATTAAACACAACATTCTTAATCTTGGCACTTAATTGGGCTCGAAACCTGACCTTAGGATCCCAAATAAAAACAGATACAGCGTATTAAATAAGTAATCTGAATTTTCAAAGTGCAATAGACGTTCAATTCTCTTCCAAAATTTGTCAAGGAATAATTTCAAGCAGTACTTATTTTCACTTTCATCTCCTCTCACAAGAAACGCAAATATTTATGTATATATGTAAACATGTATGTGAGAACATATATGTGAGTAATTTCTAAAGAATTGGATTTATTTTTAATATAATATTTTTATTACTTTAAACCTTATTTTAGTAGATACCCGTGTTTGAATAGATGTACCGCTTTTTTTTAATAGACTACATGCTTTCACTCTCGATGAAACTTAATTAAGGAAATTGTACTTTATTACATTTTCTCGGGTGTGCAAGCCAAGCAGACGTAATATGCGCTATTTAAAAAAAATAGACCCTCCATGCAAAAAAAAGGAATCAAATAAAATATTAAGTAATAAAGTAATATATATATATAT